CAGTAATGTACTTTAATATTCAGTCTTTTTCCAAGGGATTTCATAGCCAAATATAGGAAATGTGAAAATAACTAATTATAAGTCAATGAAATAAGTATACATATTACTATATTAGCACAGAGGAAGAAGTGGGGTGAGGTTATTTTGATTTTTTAACTTTGTTTTTGGTGGCAAAGGAAAGGAACGGCATGTCTGGAAAGGTTTCATAAGAGACAGAATACTTATTGACGAACTTGAAATTTGAGTAGGAATTTGCTTGGTGAAAGGGAGAAAGACATTCTGAAGACAGAGGACAAGGAAAAGAACTGAGGTAAAAAAAAGTGCAAAATGGATCGATAAAACAGCCAGTAGTCAAATCTGGTCCATGGAGCCAGAGAAAGAGGGATGGAGAGCTAAAGAATGAGCTGAAACAGTACAGTGATTATTGGTTGCCAAAATTTATGGAAGAGCAATGATTTATCCTTCAAAATGTGTATTTTAGGCTTGGAATTAGAAATACTCAGTTTTCATTTTCTTGGTTTCCCTCTTTGATTGTCCTCCCGTCCCCCTGTGTTTTATGGTGTTTTAAGCTTTAAACTTCAAAATAACATTGATTTTGATTAGCATAAATATCACGTACACACTTTGTTTCCCATAGTTTTGGAAAACTCCTATGTCATATGAAACCAATCAATTCAACAGCTAATTGTAATACTGCATATTCATTTAGTCGTTTAATTGTCTCTACTGAGATGAAAAGTTTCTATATTCAATAGCAACATTAAATCTTCTTTGAAAACATGTGTTTTTATATGTTTTTATTTTTTACAAATTTATTTATTAGTTTTTGGGTGTGTTGGTCTTTGTTGCTGCCCGCAGGCTTTCTCTAGTTGAGGCAAGCAGGGGCTACTCTTCGATGCGGTGTGCGGGCTTCTCATTGCGGTGGCTTCTCTTGTTGCAGAGCACGGGCTCTAGGTGCTTGGGCTTCAGTAGTTGTGGCATGCGGGCTCAGTAGTTGTGGCTCACGGGCTCTAGAGTGCAGGCTCACTAGTTGTGGTACATGGGATTAGTTGCTCCGCGGCATGTGGGATCTTCCTGGACCAGGGCTCGAACCCATGTCCCCTGCATTGGCAGGTGGATTCTTAACCACTGCACCACCAGGGAAGTCCCAAAATGTGTTTTTATAATTATACTCTAATAGAACTTTAAACTTCTTTATTTTAAAGTTTTTCATAAAATAGAGTATTTATATGCTTATAAGACTCAATGCTTTGCCTCTTACAGAGAGAGAAAAATTATCTATTTAGTCAAGATGTCCTGTTCTGTTTTGTTTTTTAATCATGGTTCTATTATCTTATTACCTGCAGACATTTTTAAGAAGATAATAAATTTAATTACTTCTGCTGAAATGAATATTCATAATCATTTTTGGCACTATCAAATTGTCCCCGGCAAATTTACCATCGAGTTGATAAAGTACCAACACATAGGAACTTTAAAAAATAATATACTGATTAAACAATTCAGGGTTGTCCCCCTAAGATTATCTATGATTATTAAAATTACTCTTAGATTCAGAACCTTAGAGTGCCAGTTGGATTGAAGAAAATGGAGGGATTTGAAAGGGATAGATTGATTAGAGTTTCAGTGATATTGGAAAACAGGGTTATAACTTGCAAGACAGACACACTTTAAGGTATTGAAGAGAAAAAAAGGCAGGTTCAGGCCGGTGAGGAGAGGCAGCCACTTAGTTATTAAGGATGGAAACTAATCCTTCATGGAAAATCCAACTATACCTTAATGTCATCTTGCACTTAAGAAAGAAACAACCCAGAAAACTGGCCTATAAAACATTTAAACTGTTGTTTGAAGTCACTGTACTATGTGTGTGTTCACCAAAACGGCCACTGGAATTTCACCGCAACATTCAGCATATTGTTACACTGTTTATAAAACCAAGGCATAGTTACACTTGAACCATTAGAAGATGTGGAAGTCAGAAAGGGAAAGATAGAGGAACGTACCATATAAACTTGGGAAATAAAATTGGGAAAATTTCTCCAATTTTTTGTTTACTTGTATATGTTTATAAATCCTTTGAAGGCAAGGGAACTGTCTTCTTCACTGTAATGTCCCTAGCATTTAATGTAGTGCCACACATAGCTAGGATGAATATATAACTAACTAGTGATATTTTTGAGGGTTGAAGGGGCACTAAATGCACCAGACACTGAGTCTACCGTTGGCAACTGGGACTCTTCCAGGTAAACTAGGATGTATGGTCCCACTACACATAGACATTCAATAAGACTTTTAGGGGGAGAAAGGAAGACAGGCATCAAAGTCTGAAGTCCAGTTGTCAAATGGGAATATAATGTAAATCTCCTTTCTCATCCAACAGTAGCAAAGAGAGAAGGAGAGTATGCAACTTCACTCTAAGCGTTATATATTTGGAAAAACAGTACATTGCATATTTCCAGTTTAATGCACATCTTTGTCATGGATGACTTTAATGATAGGATATTGAAAGGTAGTAGGAAATACATTGAGCATTTTCAAAAATGTCTTGCATCATGTGACTAAGGAGATATTTCCTGAGACAGAAAATGTTCTACCATTACTAGAAATATTCCAAGATCTATTAAGTAAGCTGCTTGTAGATTTTTTTTACTAGAGCAGGGTATGTGAGCAAAACATAAAATGAGTCACAAATATAGCCCTAAAAATTAGCTTTCTCTTTCCTTTCTCTTCTTTTGAAACCCCCTCTTCCCATTTAGACATAAAGGTTGGTGCTTATTCTTGTGGCTTTAGACAGTAAGCAAAACTTTATAGCTGGCAAACTTCATAATGGAAAGTAATCTAATTTGGGTTCATTTGCAGTAAAATAACTTTGACTTCTTTTGAGTTCCGTGAGTCTAATGTCACCAAATGATTTAGTTTGGGCACATTTTAGTTGACAAGAGATTTATGACTCTCTGCATATTTATCTATAGTTCCATCTTCAGAATAATCTAGCAGCCTGATGGAAAATTACAAATAGTTACGGAATTGAGAATGCCATTTTTGGTTTGTGAGCAGAGGACACCTTTTGCTTTAAATCTGTTGCCCATTATCCTTCATCTTCTCCTTACCCCTGCTAAGAGAATGAAAGCAGAAAGACTGGTCAAAAAGGAAAAAATAAGGATATCCATGTGTGGGACTTAATAAAATGTCATCTCTGTATCTCTTTTATGAAAAATTTTTTGAAAATGAATAGATATCTTATTTATAAACAGCTGCACAGAAATATGATAGTGTCGTATAAAATCCTTACGCTGAATTCTTTGAGAATTGTCATTTGAAAGTATATGATAAATTAAAAAAAAAACTATCCTATAGGAGCAGAATAAGAATTTTTAATATGGTGGGATTAGAAGAGAAAAAGACTATTTTCATTTTATATCTCATTGCAAAAAATTAAAAAGTATAAAGTTTCAGTAAAACAGAAATTTATATAAGACATGATTGTGTGCAAAAGTACAACATTAAACCTCACTTGAAGTTTAAGAGGAAATTTCATAAATACCTTGGTTTTTTTTTAAGAATAACATTTACCCTTACATAGGTCACCTGTCAGTTAGAAAATACTGTTTTGGGGGTTATTATAGCTCTAGATGCAAATCTTCATTATTATAAATCACAATTAGAGTATTTTATGAATATTTTAAAAGAGTCAGCAGTAATATCCATGGGATCTTTTGTTTTATTTTGACTACCAGTCTGTTTTTCTGTAGCTCCTCTTAAATCCTCTCAGGTTGGTTTATAAATCAAAGGACATATGCATTTCAGTTTCTTTTTATTTGCTCTAAGGAACTTTTAAATTCATTTTTGAAATAACTTGAAATTTGACATAGTGCTGATATCATCAGTTCTGTCATATCTCTCCCTTAAAGAAATTTTTCTGAATGTAACAAACCATACTGTATCTCATTTCAGAGCTTATCCTGAGCAATCAAAACTTTTGCCAGCCTTATAATTTGTATTTACATATATGGTATACAATAATATACAAAATAAGTATATACACATATTTATGTGTGTATTTTATATATATATACACATATATATTTGTGTGTATTTATATGTGTATGTGTGTGTGTACATATATATGTATGCAGTTATAACACATATATAAATCCCACCATAAGTGTTTGGCAGAATACAAGGAAAATGTTTTCATGATGGATTAGGTTTCTTCAGTAGATCCTTAATTAGCCATGTAATCCTACATAGTAATTATCTTTTATCAGGCTCAGATAAGAAAGATATTTAATAAACTGGAGCATAGCTGTGGACAATTGCCTGAGGCATGATTTTCTAGTTTAAAATGAAGTGTGCTTTTTAAAGTTAATAACTATATGCTTTCATCAACATAAAGTTGAATGCTTATGATTGTTGATGTTGCATACCTCTGGCTTCTAGGTAAATTAGGACTATAAATATACCATTGCTAATTGGAAGGAGAAAAAAAGAAATTAAAGTTAATCAAACCCAGAAGTTCCCTGGGCCTTAGGATCTATCCTGGGTCTTCACTTTACTGGAACAAATGCATATATCTGTATATGTAAACAAATTTGAGGTGTAATTATTCTATTTGTGACTGTGTTCCTTATTTAAGTTTCTGTTACACTTTCTGAACAATTAATAAATGCAAGACAGATTTAATATCACTAGACAAAATGGTTTTGTTGAATTTAATAGGAAAAAATCATTCATCATGTGAATAATTTGTGATTCAGGAAATGAAGTGACAGCTCTGAAGGTAGAAAATAAGTTGTGGCATAGCTTTTAATGAAAAGCTTTGTTTAATAATTAGCCATGTTTGAAGTAGTAACAAAACAGAAAATTAATAAAGTATGTTCTCTTCATGGAGAAACCAAATCTCATTCAAAATGTAAATAAAACTAATGTGGATTTAATGTCTTTATTTGAAGTACTATGTAAAAAAAAAATGATTGCCTTAAACTTTATTGTCATTTCAGAGTATCTGACTGTATTCTCTCAGATGATTGCATTCCATGATCCAGAGCTAAGCAATCATCTCAATGAAATTGGATTTATTCCAGATGTAAGTACTTGTTGCATTAATAGAAATGAGGTAAAAAAAAATAAAGCAGAAATCGGCAGCACAACAAAGTACTGTTTTTAAAGTTTTTTTGTCCTAAGAAGTGCATGTATCTAAACAAGTTCCTGCTACTAATTATAGTCTTTTGTTATAAAGTTTGTGTGGTTACCTTCCATATTCTCACTTTAAGTAAAGGGGAAGTATCTTATTTTTCTTGATACTATCAAATTATTTTTAAAAACCCAGTAGTGTGAGTGTTGTATTAAACTGTGATGTTAGCAGTTTTCACTTGGATTTTTTGATATTCAGGCCTGTTTTTGAAGAAGTAGAAAATTTGAACTTAGTAAATTCTTAAGTAGCTGCTTCTGTGTTTTGCTTGATACATTACCTTGGAAACTTTGCCAGATTTTGGCTTACTTCATTAGCTTCTTGGGTTCCTTATCAAACCAAAAGTCAGAGTTGACTGTCAAAGGTTAGCCAAGGTATAGCTTAGCCTATTACTCACATGTAGTATGTGACATGGACTCAAACCTCTTTTAAAAAGACAGTTGGAGTACAGTATCACGGGACTTTGTAAAACAAAATAAAACAAAAAAGAACCTTTTTGAGATAGCAATCTCCTTATTCTATCTTAACCTTCTTTGTTTCCTGATCATACCTTTCCTCTTAAGGCTTATATCCAGAAACCCATATGTTGATGCTAAGACTAGGGCTGAAAAATGTTTATATTAACACTATACTAATGCATTTAAAGTGTTAACAGTAACACTTACAGTATAAATACTTGCAGGGTGCTTTGAAGTTTAAAAATACTTTCACAAACATTTCATTTGATTCTCAAGACAAATCTGTAAGGTGTATGAAGCAAGTAATTTCAGCATTAGTAGATAAAAAATTTATTGTTTGAGAAGGTAACAAAACTAAATAGTCTCAGAACATAAAACTTTAACTTATGTCATTTGACAGCCCTCTGCCCCTAGTCTGGTTCATCTTCCAGTGGGAGAACAGAGACTAAAACATAGGTGTACTAATTCTAGTTCATTGCTCTGTGTGTTGCACTGTAATTCTGTGATGTCATCATCAGGCCTAAAGTAGCCATCCTTCATATATACAGTGGTATTTGCTTCTAGGCTTATGGAGAAATACCTTTCATTTGAGTACATGGCTTGCTCAATGAGGGCTCCAAAAAATATATATACATATTATAAAACAAATAAAATAAGATCAAACCCTATAATTATGTATAGAGATAGAAAACTTTGTAAAAATTTAACCAGTATATATATTATCATATTAAGTATTCATTTTTACATAACCCTACCTATAATGCTTCACATTATAAATGTGAGGTATGGCATAAGACAATACTAGATTAAATCTTATGGCTAGAGTTGAAGAAATTATAAAGGAACTGATTGCCGAGTTGGTAATTGTTTTAGGTTTCTGAGGGAAAAAATACTGTGATATAGACTTAAAAAAAAGGATAATTCTTTTTAAAACATTCCCTTGAAAGCACCTAATTGTGCTCAGTGACTAAACAGAAAACTACACTGCTTTAGTCAGAGTTTTAGATTGAGAAGAATCATTTATGTAGAAAAATATGTATGGAATTATAAAGATAGTCTGATAAAATCCTTAGACATATTCATGAACATAGCATTAAAAAATCACATATGGAAAAAATAACTTATCTTTGCTTAATCAGAAAAATTAAACTCTGAAAGTATATGGTATATGAGAAGAGGCAAGCAAAAAACATTGTTAAAAAATAATGTGGACATATATTAAGCGCTTACTGTGCACTAAGCACTGCTCTAACCCTCTTTAAGCACTCCTCTAATCCTCACAAGTTTGCAGTCTAATTAAACAATGACTATTAAATATACGTAAAATCAATTTGGGAAAGGCTAATAGCATGATGGAAGTAAAATTCTAGGTAACAATAACATGAAAGGTAAGAGTCAGTGGGATTTCAACTTAAAAGTGTTCTAATGATTTTGTATCATTTGAGGAGAAAGTAAATATGCTCTTTATATTTAGACATCAAGTCAGGCATCCTTTCAGATCTGGGATTTGATTTTACCCTACTCAAAAGCTAATAAATGAGCCTGTTACTGTTTCATGGATATTGGCAGAAAATCCAAGACTCCTGTGTCAGAGACAAAGGACTTCCTCACTCACAGCACAGCAAGCAGCATGATCATTAGTGTATTTGTCTTGATTTCCCTTGCTTCCAAATCCCATAGAGACGACACAGAGGGTCCAAATGATACCTGCATAATGCAGTGGATTGTTATAGGAGAGGAACTCCGAGTTTAGGGAACTTGATTTTTTTTTTTAATGGATATTAAACATATCTTCCCTTTACTCTGGAGAGAGAAAGAAAGAGAGAGAGAGAGAGGCTATCTTTTTCTTCTGAGGCTATAAGAAAACCTGTCTGTTGCTGCAAAAAGAGACTCTATCTCTGTTTACCAAGGCTATTTTTGTACAAACATCGTTGAGACTATACTGCAGAACAAAGGGCAGTTAGCATCTCTGCTCACAAGAAATGTAGAAGTACAGGAATGCATATTAAAATTTGAATGGTACTCACTAAAAGAATAGAAAGAAAATGTATAACTTTTAAATGGAATGGGGGAGTGTGGAACAAAGGAAAGTCATCCACCCCTTTAAAAACATAGAGAAAACACAGAAAGAGGGTAAGCTAAGTAGATTACCTAATAAAGGAAATTATTAGATATTTTTAAAAATCCATCTATATGGTGTTTATAAGAGACAAATGTAAAAATTTAAGGATATTGGTCAAAAAGGAGATTTAAAAAATATGAGGCAAATATTAACCAGAAGAAAACTAATGCAGTGATATTAATATAAACTAGTAAAACAGAAAGCACAAAATAAACCCATCCAGGTATGGAATTTGGTATATGACAGAAATGGCTCTATAAGTCAATTTGAAAAGATTATTCAATAAATGGCCCTGATGCAATTGCGTAACTATATGGAGGGAGGTGGGAATCAAAGCCAACCTCACACCATACATAAAAATAAGTTCTAGCTTGCCTAGAAGACATACATATGGAATGTCAGATTTATAATTTCTATCTAGGAAGATCTTACAGAAATTATAGAAAGTACAAAACATAATATTTAAAGAAGAGAGAATTAGAATTGAGGAATGGTAGAAAGGGGCTTTCCATTATATTGGAATCTATAATGTACTATTTTGCTTTAAAAGTTTTTCAAAGCATTTGTGACAAAATGTTAGTTAATGTTTGTTAAATCTGAGTGGAGGGTACTTTAGTGTTTGTTAAATGTGCTGCTATATAAGGTGAGTTAATTATTTAATAATTCAATAATTTTGATATAATATCTTTATTCTATTTAGCTTCCCTCTCCATTATGACCCTCTCCTATAATTACTGGGGTATTTTTATATAACTTCTTGTAAAAGCTTCAATACTAGTAATGCAAAAGTAATATTCATTCATATATATAGTGTGATTAGTTTTATGAGACATTCATAAGTCGCATGGGGTGGGGGACAGTTCCTTGTGGGTTGAGAATGTCCAGTATGTGGCAAATACTGAGCATCCCTGGCCCCCAGCCACTGATTGTCTGTAATAATCCCCTAATCATTGTGGCAATAAAACGCCTACACGTTATTTCTGAAAAATGTCTCTACATGTATTTCCAAACATCCTCTAGGGAACACTTCTATCGCTATTGAGAGTCCTAGAGTTAACAAAAGAGCAGTTAGGGGAAAGAGAATATATCTTAACCTGGAGGAAATTCCCTTTTCTTTGACTATTCTTTTGTCACGGAGAAAGGGCAAAAGGAGAGATATTTAACACAGTTAAAGTGTTAATAGGAAGATTGTTTTTTGGGGGTTTTTTGTTGTTGTTGTTGTTTTTGCGGTACGCAGGCCTCTCACTGTTGTGGCCTCTCCCGCTGCGGAGCGCAGGCTCAGTGGCCATGGCTCACGGGCCCAGCCGCTCCGCGGCATGTGGGATCTTCCCGGACCAGGGCACGAACCCGTGTCCCCTGCATCGGCAGGCGGACTCCCAACCACTGCGCCACCAGGGAAGCCCTGTTTTTAGTTTTTTGAAATCTTGATTTTTTTGTGTGTGTTTTGTTGGCCTGTTTCTCAAGTTTGGAGATAACATGAAAATGTTGAGACTATTTTTAAATTTAATTTAGCAAAAAGATTTGATGTTTTTAACGTAGAGATTATTGACAATGAATAGTGGTGGGAGAGGTATGATGAAATGGAGAATTTTTCTAACATTTTTCTTATTCTATTAATAATCACTTATTTTTAGTTACATGTCATTAGTTTGTATGTGCAGTCTTGCTTTCTTTTTTTTTCCCCGAATTATTGTCTTCAGTGTTCTACCTTTAAGATGATTGCTTATGTTATACAGCAGAAACTAACACACCATTGTAAAGCAATTATACTCCAATAAAGATGTTAAAAAGAAAAAAAAAAAAAGATGATTTCTTAGGTGACTTTCTGCACCTCCAACAACAATACAGGCTAAGATTCATCAAGGGCAAATGTGGACACTTTGGTAATGAGATCCCAAACTGAGTTTCCTGCTCAATAACTAATCCTATCAAAGTAAGCCCTCATTAATCTTCCATCATTAAAATGCAGACTCCTATTGCAGGAAAGATTGTGATTTCTGGCTCCTTTCCATTTGCCGTGGGTCACAGAACTCTGAATACTGAGTACTGCTGAAGCTTGAATAGTTAGGAATATTGTGCACTGATGTGATGCTTAGATTATATATATCATGGTAGTTATGTGATTTACATATAAATAGGGTGAATAATGTGTATTTGGCAAAATTGGGGCCAGAGTGATTTTTATCATTTCTGTCTTGGTGTATGTTCTGCTTCTGAAAACATACCAGGCCTTTGAAATGAGAACAGGAAAGTATGTTTCTTCATTCTTAAGGAAACTATTTTTCTGAAATGCTATAAATAGCATTCAACCTGCA